CATTTGACCCACCTCGGAAGGACGGAAGGCTGAGTCAACCTTGAGCCGGTCAGGATCGAACTGCTGGCAGTGGGCAGTTCACCTGTAGTACTGCATTGTAATCATGGGAAGGAGGGAGGGAAGGAAGGAAGGAAGGAAGGAAAGAAGGAAAAGAATGGGAGGAAAGGGAAGGAAGGCAAAGAGGAAGGAAAGAAGGGAAGGAAGGAAAAGGGAGGGTGGAAGCAAGGAAAGAAGAGAAGGAAGCAAAATGGGAAGGAAGGAAGAGAGTGGGAGGGAGGGAAGGAAACCAAAGTGGAAGGAAAGAAGGGAAGGAAGGAAAAGGAAGCGAGGAAGGATAGAAAGAAGATCATGGAAGCAAGGAAAGAAGGAAGATGAGAAGCAAGATGAGAAGGAAGGAAAGAAAAGAATGGGAGGGAAGGAAGGAAGGCAAAGAGGAAGGAAAGAAGGGAAGGTAGGAAAAGGGAGGGTGGAAGCAAGGAAAGAAGAGAAGGAAGCAAGATGGGAAGGAAGGAAGGAAGGAAAAGAATGGGAGGGAGGGAAGGAAACCAAAGAGGAAGGAAAGAAGGGAAGGAAGGAAAGAAGGGAAGGAAGGAAAAGGAAGCGAGGAAGGAAGGAAGGAAGATCATGGAAGCAAGGAAAAAAGGAAGATGAGAAGGAAGGAAGGAAGGAAGGAAAAAGGGGGGAAGGAAAATCATGAAAGGAAAGAAAAGAAAGATGATAGGAAGGAAGGAAAACAGGGAAGGAGGAAGGAAGGGACTTCATCCACATCATTCACATTCCCAGTTCAATCTCTCCTGCTATTATTTCAAACCCCGAAGCCTCCGAGACCCCTTTTTATTTACCGATGCCTCCCACATGGCTGCCACCCTCCGTGCCCTCATCCCAATGCCACGCAGTTGTCATCCAGGAACATTTCGATGCCTTTAGGCGAATATCTTTTTATGGACCAGTCCAGCTTTTGAGCAAGGCCTCCCTTGTCAGCTTTCCAGCTTCCTGAGCCGGATCGTATTCTGTCTCCCAGATGCTCCCAGTCGTGCCGTAACATCCTTGCCACTCGGGCAGAGGGCTACATGTTTACAATATCGCACAGGGAGCCTTATGCCCATTTTAGGGACCGGGAGACTGAGGCCAGGAGAGAGTTTTTCTTTTTTTTTACAACTGAGTTGAATTTGCATTTCTTGCAAGTCCTTTTCCAAATCCCTTTTCTGTCTCTAGCAACAAATTTCCAAGAAATCCTGAAAACTTCCACTTGCCATCCAGACTTTGGATTAGCAAGTCCTTGAGTTACGGCCACAATGGACCCCCCCCCCTCCCAAAATTTCCATCGTGAAGCGAAACATTTGCTAAGGGAGTTTTTGCCCCATTTCCCCAACTTCCTCGCCCCGCTTATTAAGTACACCACTGCAGGTGTTAAGTTAGTCACACGGTCGTTAAGTGAGTCTGGCTTCAACTTTGCTGGTGAGACGGTCGCAAATGGGGATCTCATGACCCTGGGACGCTGCAACCGTCATAAATTTGAGTCAATTGCCAAGCATTTTCATTTCGATCAGGCGACCTCAAGGATGTTGCAGTGGTCGTAAGTGTGGGGAAACGGTCATAAGTCCAGGGTGACTTCGATTGGTCACTAAACAAACTGTTCTAAACTGGGAATTGCCTGTATTTTGCTTATAACGTCTCCTTGACTAATCACAATTAATCAAAGTTAAACCTCTCTCTGGAACCAGCTGCACACTCAAATCTACCATAAAATTCCTTGGCACGCCGTTTTTCTGCGCCAATCCCACCGATTTGGCACCAATGAACCAATGCCCACCGAGTGTGTTTTTCACACACACAACCAGCACGAGGCAGCTCTTGGCTACGAACAGATCCACAGGTGTGCAAATTCTCTTGGGAGGGAATCCCTGCCGGGACGTGCACACGGGCGAATTTGGCTTCCTGTACAAGCCACGTTCAAGTCCATTGGGGGTGGACCCATCTCACTCCCCCCCCCCCC